CTACAGTAGCTTGCTATCTCACTCACGAAACAGGTAATCACCTTTCTTACATTACGCACTATTACCAAAAAATCTATTGAAAGGAACACACTTTGTTTAGCAGTGAGGTATGTAAGTTAAAAAAAAATTAGTAGCTATATAACACTAAAATGTGTGTGGACGAAGGTGATAAATGACACTCGAGGTGGTGGCGAGTGCATATATAGCTACCACATAGAGCTTCCATTGAATCATCCCAAGTGCACCACATTATATAAAACATGAAAAGCTAGCTAGTCACATGACTTTTCACCAATCAGCTGGGTTTCTGACTCTCTGTAATTCTACAACTAGTATGTAGAACAGGGCCTACATTTTTTAAAAAGGTGTTCAATATCAATTAGTGTGCATTATGTGATTTAGCTTGACACATCTGACCAGATATAAACTCTCTACGCTGCTATGAAGTGGAACAGAAATTACCTAGTGTGGCTATTTTTCGAGTAATTAATTTGGCATTTACTGACCCTCAGATTAAGCGGGTATTAAAAGCAATGGTGACAGTTACTATGCATGATCTGCTGAAATCCACACCGCACATGTAAGGTTATATAATGTTAGAAGTAGCTGTTATGTAAACAGCCTGCTTGTCCCATAATTGGGCGAGCGGAGCGAGCTCACCTAGCGGGTGGAATTTTCTATAATATATATAATTTTATATAATATGATGCACCGTCCGTCGTAGTTATGTGCATGCACCGATATTACGCGCTTCAACTAATATTGGGTCGGGCCCGGGGGTTCAGTTGACGTCCAGCAACGATATACTGCTTCTGTTCAAAGAGGTAGACAGACAGAACGCCTGGCCGTCGAAAGTCCTCACGACAGAGAGGCTCGTCTTTTTCAGCGACGATTGAGATGGAGAGCGGGAGCGGGCAAGGCAGTGTAGGGCTACACATTACCGTTCCGTTGCTACTTTCTTCTGGTAGTTTCACACCAACATAATACGACAACACCATAATAACTTCTGTTACATTTTACCTGTAGGTACGTAGCTATATTATCGCTAGTAATGATGATGGTTTTATATACTTGTGTTACAGTACACTTAAGGCTCGCTCCGCTCGCCCAAAGAATGCCAAGAATTTCCACTAGTTATTATAATATTATATAGGCTCCCTAACCCGTATAGTTCAGCGAATATGTGTAGTTGGACGCCCTCATGAGTGTGCATGTTACAAATGCAACATCGCTTGCTTTCACTACCTGTAAAAATTGTCACAGAAAGGTATTTTAAGGGTCATACTCTTAATGATACTGCTATGAACTCATTATTCTGCAGACAATGATGATGATTATACCATAATTGAGTCAGCAGTCACCTTCAATTCTAGTGATGCAGTTGGAAGTACAAAGTGCTTTTCAATCAATATAACTGATGACATGATTCTGGAAATGGATGAAACCTTTAGTGCAGTAATACTTACCTCTAATGGAGGATTTATTGGCACTTGTATTGTTACCATTGAGGATAATGATGGTGAGTGGCCACTACCTGGTAATGATTAATAATTTTACTCATAATTAGCTATCATAGCACGGTCAAGTCGATATGAGTGTGACATGATGGCATTAATATGCAGTGAGCAAAACATTATAGGTTAGCACACTCTCAATGGTTAGCATGGTCAAGTTGACAAGAGTGTGTCTATCGGCAGTAATGCTCATTATCTAAGTTAAGTTAGTTTCATAATTAATTCCTCTAGCGATGACATAGATAACTATAGCTCCTTGCTTATAGCTAAACCCTTTATGGTTCTATTAGTTTCTCTTCCTAGTAACTGCATAAAGATTGATGCTATATAGTAGTATTGCTATTCACAGTGTTTGAAAATTTTGGTTCAACATTAATTTTAATACTGGTCTTTAATCTGCAGTGGGGATGCTTGTGTTTGATACTGAGAATAGCACTACTTCAGTAGAAGAGGGAGCGAATGCTACCATCTGTATTCACATCTCCTCTGATGCCAGTGTGCTGGGATTTGACCTGACAGTTACCCTTACTACAGTTAATGACAAAGCCATTGGTAATAATAGTGTTTTGTTTAGCAAAATGACACAAGTATATAGCTGTTATGTTAACTTAGCCTACTTGTCCCATAATTATTATACTAGAAGAATGGTGAACATTGTTGGCGAGCGGGAGTGACCCAACTTGGGATTTACCCACGATGTTGGGGCTTCATATGCGATGCCGTCAGCGTATATACAAGAATGTTTTTGTTTATAGGTGGAGATGATTTCATGCCAGGACCACATGAGATATCATTTGCAGCATACACAAATTTTGCGCTGTGGGGCTGTATCATCATTGAAACTAATGATGATAATATTCTGGAGGGAAATCATGATTTTATCGTGCATGTGGATGTAGCAGCACTGGCAGTGGGAACCGATAATAGAGTGACTGCCAGTGGAGAATTTACAGTGACAATCACGGATTCTGGTGATGGTGAGCAATAATGCTTGCACTGGATGCTGCAATGCTCCTGGCGCCTCTTTGCAAAAAATAATGTGATGTTAGCTACCTCTTAGTCTTCCCACTTGCAAATTTCGACATGCATTCATAATCATTACTTGCACAACTGAAGTGCACTAACTGGCTCTGGCCTTGGCAGACTGGCAGATCATTGATGCATTCATGCAATTCCCATGATGGTGCAAAACGTTTTCCCCCATGCTACACGTAAAACATTTGTTAACCCTCGGCGCGCATGCGCAGCGAGGGTGACTGTAGTTGTTCTGTGCCTGTCTGTCTGTCTGTCTGTCTGTGTCTGTTACCACGTTTTCTGCCACCACCCGCAACAAACCGGCCAAAAAGCGACACCAACAGGTTCAGCGCTACACTGGCTTCATTTCAAAAAAGGCGAATTTCGTAAAAATACTGCGTTCTAAAGTTATGGCGTGAAAAGCAAGTGAACAAGCCAATATGCTAATTAGCACAGGCTTACCTCGACCGGGCCCGCTTGCTCTGTGTATCTTGAAGGCACATGAAGTCACAACGAAGGGCGTGTATCGACTTCCGCATGCTATCTGCTACTGTAGCTAGCCCGTATCTGACTCTCCGCGAGCTACTAGCAGGAGACCACGGGTAAACTCATACTACAAATAGCCATCAATTAGCGGTACCGCGCATGCACAGTTCGCCGAGGGTTTGCACTCTTTTTTTTTAGCAATAGTGTAACATATTATATTATGCAGTGAATGCTGGACTGGGTTCAGCACTTCTAGTCTCTTAGTAGTAGTATGCTTTAGTTAGTTATACTCCTGATGGGTATTATTAACCCTCGGCGCGCATGCGCAGCGAGGGTTACTGTAGTTGTCGTGTGTGTCATTCAGTTATTAACCCTCGGCGCGCATGCGCAGCGAGGGTTACAGTACTTGGGTCTGTCTGTCTGTCTGTGTGTCTGTCTGTTTGTCTGTTACTCTCTATCTCACGCCTCGAACGTCTGTTCGTCCCAGAAACGATACCATCTACCCAACGGGCGACGAAGGTCAGAAAATAAAGGCGGTTTTCTCTGAAAATGCTCCGTTGCAAAGCTAGAGCACGAAAAAGCCAATAAGCAAATACGCAACGGACGGGATGGCTTACCGCGGTCTGATCGATCCGCGTGCTCTGCGACCTCGGAGGCACCAGAAGATGCAACGCAGGGCGTGTATCGCCTCTCGCATGCTGTCTAGTAGTGTATAGTTAGCCCGCGTCAGACTCTGCGCGAGATGGGCAGAACTAAACCCAGCCCATCAATTAGTGATACAAGCGCATGCGTTTACTACTCATCTGGCGCTCACAATGCGCCGAGGTTTGCACTTCAGTCTTTTCATTCATTCCGTAGGTTAAGTGCAGAACTCACTTCTTCGTCATGATCGCGTCCAAAACGGTTTACATACCAGCGGCCGCGGAGGTGTCAGAAAATATGTTGGATGTTCTCTGAAATTTAGGAGTTCAGTAATATGGATGGCCTCCAACTAAGGCGTTTGGCTCACTAGTTAGCTTGGAGGTAAGAATAATCTTATCTATGAACGCTATATGACAAGCACCAGTAGTACAACAATTCTAACCAACGCTGGTGATACCATGCCCCACCCATTACTTATATAATTCTGCTTATATAGCGCCGGGGTTTTTGCACTTCATTGACTTTCTTATTGCTGTGGAGGCTGTTCAATCTTTGGCCGACCCTAACTGTGTGTAAAACAGGATGTAGATATTTTGATTGCTTGAATAATGCGCAAATCGACTATACCTAGCTACTACATTTAGAGTTTAGTGTACCAGTAAACACTTAAAAAGGTTAATTAGCTATGAGCATAAACAATGGAACTAAATTAGGCCTGTTCTGGGTTGTGGTTTAATGTACTTTCCAGGAACAAATTTTCTTACTTTTTAATCTGCAGCGGGAATTGTGCTGTTTGATAGAGTGAATAGCAGTGCTTCAGTAGCAGAAGGAGACGTGGCTACTATCTGTATTACCATCTCATCTACTGCCACCTCCCTGGGATGTGACCTCACAGTTACTCTTACTACTGCTGATGGCAAGGCTATGAGTAAGTTGTAATGTAATAGCATGACCCTTTAATTTTGTTAATATCCTCCAGGTGGAGGTGGTAATAGTGATTACACAGCTGCATCAAATGAGATTACATTAACAGCGGAGACCAATTTACCTGTTAGTGTCTGTGTTATGATCCAGACGTCACAAGATTTAATTCTGGAGGGAGACCACGACTTCAGTGTACTAGTTGAAAATGTAACACCAAACGGAGCACTGACCCACAGTGACATCTTTACAGTCACAATCACAGATTCTGATGGTGGGTACTTCCATCGGCAGTTTTCCTAAGTTGATGTGAACATGTGTGTTGTATTCAATGCAGGTCCAGCCACTATTGAGTTTGAGAGTGGTGGTGCTACTTTGTCTGAAGATAATGGAACTGTTAGTACCTGCTGTGTGGAGATCTCTGGACTGCCAGCAGGAGGACTGGGATGTGATATAATAGTTGAACTCCAGACAGCGGATGTTGGTGGCACAAATGATGCAAGTAAGTGTGTGTATGTTTTTGTGGCTAGGAACATAGAATGAGGTGGCTTTTGTCCATAGTTACTGCCACACATTGAGCTTTTCATATATGGCAGTTCCATGCCTCCACAACAGCACCCACTTCCAGAGGGCCTCTTCTGTGGCAATGTTCTTTCTTGGTTGTCCATTTGCCCCAGGGGAACTCCTCAGCAGATTATTGTGTGTAGGTCACAGTTATTCTTTAATCTCCCGACCTGTGCCTCACTACCACTGAGGCGGGGCCACTCCTTCGGCAGTATGTAATTGTTCTTAGTCTTTCACCATGTCCCGTTTTGTCATGTTTAGTTGGTTTGCGACGTGAAAGAAGCAAATTTACAACAAATTTCCTTCTACATTGTTAGTGATTAAACATTTCAAACCATGTTCGCTGGCTGGGAGCTAGGCATTCACATTTTATTATACAGCTTAGACAAGCATTATTTTTACTTTGCTTTGTGGTGGTATATAGCAGTGGTGTGGAAGACGGGGGTGTCTTACTAGCATACATTGCTTGTGTGTCAGTCACTCACACACACTCATTAACTCGTTTCCCTGATGTGTTTTCTCCACTGCAGCTAGTGGTAGTGATTACACATTATCAGTAACATCAGTGACATTTCTGAGTGGAATGACAATTAACGGAGACACTCAGTGTGCTGAGATCCAGATTGTGGATGACGACATCTATGAAGAGGATGAAGTGTTCCTTGTCTCTATTAGTACAGTTACACCATCCTCTGCTGCTATGATTGGAACACGGTCAGAAGTAACAAACACCATTCAGGACAACCAGGGTATGAGCTAGCTATGTACACAGAACCGACTGAGTTGATGACTGTTCTGATTTCCCTGCCTTTTCAGATGCTATGGTAATATTTGGGAGTATTATGTACACTGTCAATGAAGATGATGGGAGTGTTGATATTTGTGTGGACTCTGGTGTTACTGAGGGATTTGAAGCAGACCTCTCTGTATACTTGACAGCAATGGATGGAAAAGCCAGTTAGTGTATAGATTATCCTGCCTCACAATTGTGTTATTAAAATTCGTTTTTAACACACAGTTGTTCTGAATGATACGCAACTTAGCAGTGTTGACTTTTCAGTGACGTTTATGGATGGCTCGAGTGATCAAACACGCTGTACTCCTATTCCAATAAGAAACGACATGGTTTTGGAAGGCGACCATGCCTTTACTGTGGCCATTGTTGGTGCAGGGACCTCGCCTCATGCTGAAGTTGGTTCGCCATCCTCTACAACAGTTACTATAAAGGATGATGAAAGTAGGTCATTTCTTCTGGGTACAAAATACACTATTTACGCAATTTGCATTCCCATCTTCAAGCCTGCCTACTCTAGAGTAGCCTGCTGTCTGAGTGCTTCAGACCAACTCAGTTGGGGTCTATATAGAATAGGGGAGATAATGGGTCATTGTTATCATGTGTGTAGCTGTCAAACTATATCGGTCCAATCTGCAGCTGGAGCCCTGGTGTTTAATGCTGCGCCTAGCACTGCTAGAGTACCTGAGGGGGACATGGCATCAGTCTGTATTACCATCTCGTCTACTGCCACTTCCCTGGGATGTGACCTCACAGTCACTCTTACTACTGCTGACGGCAAGGCTACCAGTAAGTTCTTGTGTTTGTTCTTCAATTTACTGCAAACACCTCACTTCTGGTGTCCTTAGGTGCAGACAATGACTATACAGCTGGAAAGTATGAGATATCATTTATGGAAGGCGACACTTTTGACCTTATGGGTTGTGCTAATATCCCAACTATTGACGATGCTGTTCTGGAGGGAGATCATGACTTTATTGTCAGTGTCTATGACATCACACCAGATGGAGCAGTGACTGCCAGTGGATACTTTACAGTCACAATCGTAGACAATGAAAGTGGGTCTTTGTTGACACCATATACCTACATAGTGGGCAGTAGCATTTCACACAAATAAAAATGTAAGACACCTATAGGGCTTAAATGAGACTTCACAAAAAAGGACTTAACTCTAGTTGCCCATTCTATACTTTGGAGGAGCCAGACCCTGCGTGAGTGAGCATCCTCTTGCTAATTACCGGGTTCGTTATCTTGGCAGGACATCTCCGCGGCATGCTTCTTTTGGGGAGTATGATTGCGAGCCCCTGTCGTTAGGGGCAAGTCCACCTCAGGTCGGTAGCATGCCCATTCGGGTCATGACATCACATCATGCATGATGGAGACCGTAATGGAAACCCAGTCCCTCCCCAGGTGCATTGGCGTGGTTGGCGGGATGGGAAATCTGACGCTGCGACCAGAACGCGACCGTCTGTCTGAGATTCACCTTGAAACTGACACTGTCGCACGTGGTGCTCGTCTGGGCATGCGCGTGCCGGTGCGTGCGCCTCGTACCGCTTGGTATAACGTCGGCGCGCTGGTGGGGCTGGTTCCTTCCGTTAACTACGTTTAACCTACTGTTACAGTTCATTTATGCAACAATGTGTGAGCTTGTACGCAACAGCAAAGCATCCTGGTACAATGTATAGGTAAACGGTGTAGGGCAGAACAATCAGATGATAAACCAGCATGACTTTAGCTAGGTTCACTCTACGTAGTATTTACCAATACGACCCCATTGCCCAGTAGTTCACAATGTCCCGTTACACCGTGCCCTGTGTCCGCTTCGTGAGCGTATATAATCTTTGGGCAATGTGACATTTTCTGAACTTACCTTAGGATTAATGGGTCCCCTGTCTTTGAGAGCCAGGGATTAACATTACCACCAGTGATACACATTATCAATAGCGGAAAAAACTGTCCTGGGTGTAGTTCATTTGTTTGTTGTGCTTTTGCCTTTCTACCTCGTAGTTTTCACATGGTAAACTTGCTATGCTCTTGCCTTCCTCACCACCTTTGATACCGTGTCATCTTAAGCACACTTATTGTGACCTTAGTTAGCATAGCAAAGAAACTAACCTCTACAGCTTACTAACTTTTACCAATGATGCCAAACTATCAAGTGACTGAATATGCTCAAACCAACCCCTGAGCTGGTCAACTATTGTTCCACAAAATAAGACTTAACACTTTCACACTCATCATTACACAACCTCTATCCCTTGCCTCCCACTGTGCATACTCAATGTGGCAAAATGTATCCAACGCAGGTCCAGCCACTATTGGATTTCAAGCTGATGCTACAGTATTTTCTGAAGATGATGGTACTATTGAATGCTGTGTTCAGATTTCAACAATGTCACTACTGGGATGTGATATAGTAGTCCTGCTTCAGACCATGGAAGTTTGGGGTACAAATGCTGCAGGTATGGGCAGAGCCTTACAGCCCTTGTAATGTTTTATGATTACTTTTGTGATGCAGAGAATGGCAGTGATTACACACTGCTATCAACAACAGTTACATTTGAGAGTGGTAATAATACTAATTTTACGGACAGTCAGTGCATCAAGATCCAGATTGTAGACGATGACATCTATGAAGAGGACGAAGATTTTTTGGTCACGATTAGTACAATTGTGCCCAGCACTGCTGCTGTGCCTGGTCCAGTTTCACAAGTCACAAAAACCATCCAGGACAATGCTGGTAGGATTAGTGTAGAGAAATTTTTAATGGTGGATGTTACTGATTCCCTTACAGATGCTATGGTCCATTTTGTGAGTGCTTACTCATAGAAGTCGATGAAGAGGCAGGAAGTTGTTTATATTTATGTGGATTCTAATGTTACTGAGGGTTTTGAAGCAGATCTCGTTGTGTCTTTCATGCTAATTGATGGAAAAGCTGGTGAGAAAATGTGCACTTTACAAAGTGTGCATTTTAATTGAGTTTATATATCTCTGCACAGTTATACAAAATGACACAGGACTTACTGCTGGTTTTAACCTGACATTTCCGGATGGATCGACTAATCAAACACGCTTAAAATATATATCCATCCCAATCACAAATGACACGGTGTTGGGAAGGAGACCATGACTCACTGTGACTACGCGTTGGTGCAGTCTTCCTCATGCCGAAGTGCTGAGCCATCTTCTACCACAGTCACCATAGAGGAGGATGAAAGTGAGTGAGTGTAAAAAGCTAAGAGCTATAACCACTATGCCATTTCACAAAGAGGTCTGCAGCACCTTTGGTGATCGATAAAAAAAATTCATCACCACTTTCTAATGCCTAAACAGCTTATGCTTGGACTTGCACATGCTTTATGCTTGATTTACGAACAAAGATATTGGTCACTCTGGTAGGTGGGGGCTGTAAAATGTTGTGAGTTTGCTTCCGGGTCATTAGTCTTGTCAACCAGCCACATTATTATAATACACCATCTGCGGGATTAATGGTGAGGGTAGTACCTTTTTATGAAGTTTACTTATGCATTTTAGCTTTTGATTCCACCTATAGCTACCACAATGTTGGCAGAGCCAACTGAATCAAACAAACCGTATATCTGAGTAGAACAGACTGCTATGTCTGGGGCAGTGCTCCTGAGCCGCGTGTCTCGTGTTGGTGCCCAGACCCTCACGTGCTCCCACGTGAAAGAGGGTCTGGTTGTGCTGAATCAGCATGTGTACAGAAATTGCGTAACACGGTGCGATAGTCATGTGTCTAGTTCTCGATCATTTCATAGATCTGCATGCACGCCCAGAGAGAACGCTAAATTTACGTCGCATGATATTTTAAAACCTAGCAATCCGATTGGGTTACCCGTTTTCCGAACATGCTGATTCAGCACAACCGAAATTTGACGTTGTATACCCCAGACCCTCTTTTGTGTGGGAGTACGTGAGGGTCTGGGAATGAGACTATACTGAATCAAACTAAATTGTTAACAGAGTTAGCTATTTCAAGCTTTTGGCAAATTAATGGTGTGAACTAACTCTGCAACAGTCAAAGGAATATCACACCCATAGTCTTTAACAAAATGAGACGGTACCTATAGCTATCATTCCAGATGTAATCACCCGTGCCTATCAAATTCCACATGGAAAAATAATGCTGGCCCAGATGACTAAGTCTTCAGTAGCAGGAGTGAAACTTGGTAGTTAGCTATGTTTTCTACCATCTACGTTTGTGTATAATATTATGTATCATGCTCTGCATGTGTTGTCGTGACTGTGCTGTCGTATATCAGAGAGTCGGTAGACTCTCTATATAGGGATGACGCGGGTGAAATCTCACGTGATCCGCGTACAAAACGACTAAAAACTCGCTGAGAATCACTCCCTAGGCCTTCAAAACATACTAGCAATAGTCTACGGGCACATATCTACCTATACATGTCCCCCAAGACCTCATACCCACCTTCAGTCGTCCACGCGAGAATTCGCTCTTACGCGATTTCACGATTTTGGTGTCATCATATTCTTCTTCTTCTTCTTCTTCTTCTTCTTCTTCTTCTTTAGACCCGCTTTCTCCTTACTGGAACAAGTTGAAGCGCTAATTTTTTCACTGAACGTCTCCAATTTCGCCCGAGGTGTGCACGGACATCAAGCGATCGGTTCTTTCTCGCCGCTAGTCACTACGGTAGATCATGGAGCTCTTCCAAGGTCGACACTGAACAACGCCATTTGCTGCTAACTCAGCATCAGTGAGCCGCGCGCATGCGCCAGGCAGGGGCGTTGTCCACCACATGCGCTTGCGAGCGTATACCAGGCGAGTTGGCAGACCTGCAGAGGAACTGTCAGCCTCCAGTATATACCTTCTGTAAGTAAGTGTGCACATTTGCAACTGGCTAGCTTGCTGTTGATTTGCACGAAGAGCAACTTGC